GCCAGACCTGTCAGGAGCTGGGGGAGAGCCTCTCCTGCTTGTCGCGTTCAATCACCCTCTTGCAGCCGAAGTGCTTTCCTCCCTCCTGCAGCCTGTGCCTGGCAGCTCCCGTCACCTGCTCGCTCTGCAGGTCACCTTGTCTTGAGCGCCAGAGACGCGGCTGCCTCTCCCTGGGCTCCCCAGAGAGCGCTGGAGCCTGATTTGTGTGAGGAATAGCTGAAATGGCAGCAGTGGGAGCCTGCCCAGGGAGATCAGCTGCCGGCTCTCCAGTGTCTCTCTCTGGGCCAGGAGGAGGTGCCTGAGGAAGAGGGAGGCGGGAGAGGCTGGTCTGGGCTACCTGGAAACAAGTGCTGCCTCCCAACCTGTCCCATATGAGGCTTCCCAATCCTCTTGGGGTTCTCTTTTCCCCGTTTTCCCCCACAACCCTCCGTGACAGCAGCTGGAGTCTCCGCAGGGTTCCTGTGCAGGGTGCTCCCTCCCTCGCAGCTGCATTACCCCAAACCAGTGAGGCTCTGGCTTGAGCCAGACCCCAGTCCCTACAGCCCTTTATGCTTGGTCGGGCTTGTGAGCACAGACGTGACAAATCTTATTTCATTAAGCAGAATTCCTCTGCTTAAGCTTATTGGGTGGCAAGCAGCCATCAGGCCATGCCCTGCCTACGCTGCCCGTGTTTTTTCTGTACACATCAGTGGGTTTCGGAGTTAACGCACTGGAGTGAGCAGCTTCCTGGGAAACCGGGGAGCTGGTGCCCCGTGATTTCTATCTTCTTCACAGCCAGGGAGGAGGCAGATCTTTTGGAGTGGAATTAGGGGAAAAGCTATTCTGGTCTTGAAACCCAACTCGTGGAGCTCGTAATCCCCTTCTCTAGGCTCATAGTCTGTTAGTGACCACCCCAGAGAGACGTGGAGCCCAGGCTGCTGCTAATTAATCTCTTTCCTCCTCCTGGCAGTGACCTGCTCTCCCCAGACTCCCTCCTCAACTGCCTCTATCCAGGAGACCATGGGAGGAAAACGCCCAACCCAGCCAACCAGTTCCAGTTTGATAAAGTGGGGTGAGTGGGGCGCTGCCCAGGTGGTTGGCGTGAGCGTCCCGGCATGGCACGTCCCTCCCCAGCTTGCCAGGGAGGGCTCGGTGGCCGGGAAGCCGGTGTCCTGTTTGGCATCGGGTGGGCCTGCCGGGCACAGCTTGGGGTGCAGGCGAAAGAAGCACCTGCTCCCTGCGGCTGGCTCGCAGGCCAGGCGGTGGGGGGATGGGGCGGGAATGCTCTGGGGTGGCGTAACCCTTCCTCCTTGTCCCCGCAGCATCCTGACCTTGAGTGACTACGTGACAGAGCTGGGGCACCCCTACGTGTGGGTGCAGAAGCTGGGCGGCCTGCATTTCCCCAAGGATCAGCCTCAGGCACGTCACACCCCCTGCCATCTCCCCCGGAACGTCAAGCTGGGGTTTGGGGAGGTTTTGGGGACAGTTGTGTCCTGTCCTGTCCCCCCAGGCCCCAGAGCTCCCACTGGCACCAGCCGCTCCCAACCCACGCTGCACCCTTGGCTGGGACAGGCTGTGCAGCGGGGCCATGGCAGCGTATTTTATCTCCCACCTGTGATTAGTCTAAGCCCTATTATGGGGGCTGAGCAGTGACTTGAGCATGTGCCTGTCCCTGTGGCTGGGTGGGGTGGCTTCTGGACCATGGGGTCCCCAGTGGGGGCCCCACAGGCTGGCGTGAAGGTGACGGTCCCTTCTGCCCACAGCACACGGTCACTGCGGACAACTCGCTGAGCGCCAGCCACATGGAGCTGACGGTGAAGCTGCTGCGGACGAGGCTGCAGTCCCGCCTGGCTCTCCACAAGCAGTTTGCGTCGCTCGGTGAGTGCCTGGCTCCCCACCCTGTGCCTGGCGACGCAGTAGCAGGGTCCCCTTGCGGAGGAGAGCTGCTTGATGTCACCTTTAATGGTGCTACAGATCTGTAGTGCCACCCTCAGCGTTCCCAGTCATTCCCTCTGTCCTTGGTGGTAGCAGGGCGCCAAGGGCTGCCCTGTTTTGGGTGGGAGAGGAAGGCTGTGCCCCCTCTGGATGCCCAGCACCCCTTTGGGACTGGCCATCCCTGCACTGGGAATCAATTCGGGCCGTGGTGGGAGGTGAAGCACACGCCCATGTGTGTCATGTGCCTGTCGGGCAGGCCAGGCATGCGCTGCTGAGACTGCGAGCGCCAGTGGGATCGCAGCCGGGGCTTCCACAGTTCCTCTCTGTGCACCTGATGAAGGTGTCGGAAGGATAACAATGTTCCCAGGTCCTGGTTTTGGAGCATCCCCACCTGCAGGACAGCAACAGAGCTCTGTCCCCAGCCCTGCCCTGCTCAGGTGGCCTTGTCCTTGGTTTCAGAGCACGGCGTTGTGCCAGTCTCCAGCGAGTGCCAGCATCTCTTCCCTACCAAGATTGTCTCGCGCCTGGTGAAGTGGGCTGCCATTCCCTACGAAGATTATGCGGTAGGTGCCGAGCACGAGGCCATATCCCTTCCAGCTCCCGCGTGGCGCCGGCAGCTGCTCACTCCTCCTCTTGTCTCTCCTCTCAGGAGCTGCCCTACACTAAAGATGTGATCGAGGCCGGCTTGGCTGAAGACACTCACCTCTACTACATGGCTCTGATAGAAAGGGGAACAGGTAGGCATGTTTCCTTCCCCTGGCAGTGGCCAATTCCCACACTGCACACCCCCAGGGCAGCTTCTGGGGGGTCTTCATGGGAAACCCCTCTGGTTGGAGGCCCCTTGGGCAGCGGGTGACATTTGTTCCCTGCCCCACTCAGCCAAGCTCCAGGCCGCCGTGGTCCTGAACCCCGGTTACTCCACGCTGCCGCCTGTCTTCAGCCTGTGCCTGAACTGGAAGGGAGAGCGAACCAGCAGCAACGACGACAACATTCGGGTGAGCTGGGGCAGTGGGAGAGGAGGCTGGAGAAGCGCTGGCTTTTCAGGGGTGTTCCCGGCGGTTCTGTGTCCGTATCAAGTGAGCTGGTGGCCGGGCAGCGCAGGGCAGGCCCACGGATGCAGCCGTGGGTCCTGGGAGGGCAGAGCAGAGACCCAAGCCTGCACCGTATTCATCCCTCTGCCTCTACCAGGCCATGGAGAGTGAGGTCAACGTGAACTACAAGGAGCTGTGGGGGCCCAAACCGGGCTACCAGCTCCTCACCAACCAGCTGCAGCGCCTCTGCATGGTGCTGGACGTCTACCTGGAGACGGAGCCCCACGACACCAGCGTGGAGGGACCCAAGGAGTTTCCCCAGGAGAAGATGTGTCTGCGCCTCGTCAGGTGAGAGCCTGGCAGCACGGGGGACCCTGGGGCAGTGAGAAGCCTGGGTGTGGGGGGTTGAGGGTGCTGACAGGGGCCTGGTGCCACTGCTGTCCCATTGCCTGACCTCTCCTTTAGCTGCCTGTGGGGGGTCTGCCCCCCCCCCCCCCCCCAGCCGGGCGGTACCCCAGGACCAGGCCCTTTTTGTGGGTTCCGCAGGCTTCCCGACCCCCGTGGGTCAGCCTCTCCCTCTTCTCCTCTTCCAGGGGGCCTATGCGCCTGAAGCCCTTCAAGTTCAACTACCCTCAGGGGTTCTTCAGCCATCGCTGAGCACCCCTGGGCATCGCTGCGGGCTGGGCCTCATCCTGTCCACAGGGTGGAGCAGCCCCATCCCACCATTTCAGTTTCTTTTCCCAGGTTTTGGGTTTCGTCTGAAGGTTTTGTAGCTGAAGAGATTAAATGCTGAACTGAAGGAAAAGCGTGTGCGTGCCCTGTCTGTGCAGAGGGCTGGGATGGGGGGGGATACGTGGGGGCTGCAGCAAGCCCTGTCCCGTGTCCCTGGGCTCTTGCTGCCTGTACATCCCCTTGCCTGGGGTGCTGCCTGCCTCCTGCCCTCCCTCCCCACCACAGGGCCTCGGCACTGCAGAACTCAGATGGCTAAAAACTGAGATGGCTAAAAATAGCCCCTTTCCGGAGCCCGCACTGCAGCCCCAGCCTGTCCTTGCCTGCACTGGCTGCCAGCCAGCTGACTCAGCACAAACCCCGCAATGGGGTGGGGGGCTTTGCTGCTTCCCCCAGCTCGGCTCCTGCGAGAGGCAGGACCTCACGGCACCGTGCGAGGGGTCGGGGTGGGCATCTCCAGCGCCTCGCAGCTCTCTACTGTGGATCCCGAATGGGGATGGAGCCCAGCTCCCAAGGTCATCGTCCCTCCTGGCTGCCACCCTCTCCGCTTCTCCCCTGTGGGTGATTTCTTCCCCCGGGAAGGCCGGCAGAGCCCCTCCGCACTCCCGTGCAGCCCCTGCAGTCAGCGCAGTGCTGCTGTGCAGGGCAGTGCTGCAGCGCTCGGGTTAAACCGGGCCCTACCACCCTGATGGGAGCCACGCTTTAAAAAGGGAAGGAAGAGAAAAAGCAAACCACTACGCTCCTTCTTTCCTGCCCTCCCTCACCACCTCTCCCCCCGTCCCCGCCCCAGACATGAGGCCAACAGAGTCAGGACGTCTCTCTAAGCACTTTATTTGGTTATTGCACGGAAAGCAAATAACAGTGGGCTGAGGTTCCTAGTGCACCGTGTGTCCGTGAGCGTCCCTGCAGCGCCCAGCCCCTCCCAACCGAAGCTGGCTGCAGCCTGGGTCACTGCTCGGAGGGACGGTCGTCACCCCCGGGCCAGGGAAGGACCCCAAGGACCCCACCAGCCCCCGTCCCAAGCAGCTAGAGCTCTGCGTTGCACTCATCCATCGATTGCACATACATTAAATAAATGCACTTATTGGAGAAGGGCGGTCGGTTCCCCCGGGGTCTCTTCTCCTCGGTTATAATTCAAGTGTTTACATGTGGCGCTCGGCGTATATCACATTCTGCTAGGGAAGCTATCGGCCAAACCGCCGGGGCAGGGCAGCGAGGGGCTGCGTCTCTCACACAAACATATTGCTAAGGTAAAGCCCGGCCCTCGGAGGGGAGCAGCGCAGCTCCCGTGCCCAGAGGTGCTCTTCGGCCCCCGCGGGGCTCTGCTCACTTCTTCCCTGCGGCGGGTGCCGGCTCTGGGGCTTTGCCCTCCTTGCTGGAGGGGGCCTCGGCCTTGGGGGGCTCCTGACTGGCTTTGGGCTCGTCTTTGGGTTTTGCTTTAGCTTTGGGCTCCTCCGCCTTCTCCTTCTTGGGCTCCTCCACCTTCTCCTTGGCCTTTGGCTTCTCGGCCTCCTTCGCAGCCGCTTTGCTGACCTCCTGCTGAGGTTTTGGCGGAGCCTCCTTCTCAGCCTTTCCTTCTTCTGCGGGTTTGGGGCCCGGCTTGGTGGTCTCCTTCACCTGTGGGGCCGGAGGCTCTGGCACAGCAGCCGCCTTCTCTTTGGGCTTCTCCTCCACCTTGGCTGGGACATCCTTCTTAGGAGCTTCCTCTTCCCTGCCCTCCTCAGCTCCAGGCTTGGAGGGAGCCTTCACCTCCTTGGGCTGCTCTTCCTTTGTGGGGGCTTTTGGCTCCTTTGGAGGGGAGGGGGTGGGCTCCTTGGCTGGGGCCGCTTCCTTCTGTGGAGACTTGGCCTCCTCCTTCACGGGAGATTTTACTTTCTCGGGGGACTTCACGGTCAGGGTCTTGGTCTCCTCCTTTGAGGGGGTTGGGGGCTTCTCTGGGGACTTCACAGCCGGGGTCTTGGCCTCCTCTTTAGAGGGGGTTGGGGGTTTCTCTGGGGATTTGACAGCTGGGGCCTTGGCCTCTTCCTTTGCAGGGGGTGCGGGTTTCTCTGGGGACTTCACTTTCTCTGGGGTCTTGGCCTCTTCTTTCAAGGGGGTGTTTCTCTGGTCTGGGGATTTGACAGCTGGGCTCTTGGCCCCCTCTTTTGAGGGGGTTGCAGGTTTCTCTGGGGATTTCACTGCCGGGGTCTTGGCCTCCTCCTTTGAGGGCGTTGGGGGCTTTTCAGGGGATTTGACTGCTGGAGTCTTGGCCTCCTCCTTTGAGGGGGTTGGGGGTTTCTCTGGAGACTTCACAGCTGGGCTCTTGGCCTCCTCTTTTGAGGGGGTTGCAGGTTTCTCTGGGGATTTCACTGCCGGGGTCTTGGCCTCCTCCTTTGAGGGCGTTGGGGGCTTTTCAGGGGATTTGACTGCTGGAGTCTTGGCCTCCTCTTTTGAGGGGGTTGCAGGTTTCTCCGGGGATTTGACAGCTGGGCTCTTGGCCTCCTCTTTTGAGGGGGTTGCAGGTTTCTCCGGGGATTTGACAGCTGGGCTCTTGGCCTCCTCTTTTGAGGGGGTTGCAGGTTTCTCTGGGGACTTCACTGCCGGGGTCTTGGCCTCCTCCTTTGAGGGGGTTGGTGGCTTTTCAGGGGACGTAACAGCTGGGGTCTTGGCCTCCTCCTTTGAGGGGGACTCGGGTTTCTCTGGGGACTTGGCTTCCTCTTTTGCAGGAGACTTGGCCTCCTCTTCACCTTCTGCTTCAGCTTTCTCCTCTTTTTCCTCCTCCTCTTCAGCTTTCTCCTCTTCAGCCTCTTTCTCAGCCTCCTCCTCCTCTGTGACCTCCTCGGTCACCTGGATTTCCTCTGTCTGCTCCTCCACAATCACTGTCTCCTTCTCAGATTTTTCCACCACCTTGATCTTCTCCTCACTCTTCACCTTGATGTTGGTGGTGATGCTGGGAGCCTTGGGGACCACCTCAGGGAAGGAGAGCATCCCAAAGCCAGACTCGATCCGATATTCCTCCCCTTCCAAGAGCTTTCTGCCAGGAAAAGACCAGAGCAGGGCAGTCAGTGATGGCTTCTCACACAGCTCTCACCTCCTCCCATGCCCAGGAGCTGCCAGCCATGCCCTGCGGCTCCTTCTCCCTCCTTGCTCTGCTTTCCAGCTGCTGGCTGACCCTCCTGCTCCTACACCCTGGGTTGTGCAGGTTCCCTCACCCTTCCCTTCACAAGCCATGTGCAGGCTTGGGTCACCCAACTGGACAGTCTTGGAGGATGGATGGTCTCTTTCTCACCAAGAAGGGCCCAGGTGTTAGCGAGGGCCCTTGAGGAGTGTCCCCAGAGCCACCAGCACTAGGGACTGGCTGAGACCCTCCCGCCCCATACCTATAGGCAGCAATTTCAATGTCCAGGGCCATTTTGACGTTGAGCAGATCCTGGTACTCCCGGAGCTGAGCTGCCATCTCCCACTTGGTGTTCCTCAGCTCGCTGTCAAGCTGCTGGATGGTTTCCTGCGGGCAGACAGAGCAACTGGTGACATGGGGGGGCCAAGTCCCCAGGAGCAGAGGGACACAGAGCACCCCTAAACAGTCCCCTGGTCTCTGGAGGAGGGGCTGCTCGCAGTGGGGTCTGCAGCCACCTCCCCTGGCAGACACAGAGGGAAGGGGACGCAGCCAGGGGCTGCTTCACTGTGTCCAGTTCCCTTGGGGGAACCAGTGGGAGCCCTGCACTGGCTTGGCTGAGAGCTGCACTGTGGCCAGCTGAGCCCCAGCCCCCTCCCCCAGGGACTTTCGAGGACTTGGGTGAGTCCACCAGTGGCGTCACCCTGGGGACAGTGTTACAGTCTGTGGCCACCACGTTGTGCAGCCCTCTGTGCTGCAGCTCCCAGCTCTGGGATGCGAGATGTGGCCTGAACCCTGGGCGCGGTTCAGTGGTGGCTTTGGCAGCTCAAAGCCAGGCAGAGGCACGGGACAGCTCCAGCGTGGGTGAGGGACACAACAGCCCGTGTGCAACCTCAGGCTCTGGGTCCCTGATCACTGGCTCTAGACACAACCCTGAGTATTTGCCGCTGGTCATCACCACCTCTGGAGCCAAAGCACCAGCGCTGCTCCTCCCCAGCAGCTGGATGGTTCCCTCCCCACCAAACGCCAGGTCTGGGATGCTGCCCGCTGCACCACGTTACCTGGTAGGACAGGACATCTGCATGATGGCGCTCCTCCGAGTCCTGTCTCTGCCTCTCCAGTGACTCCTGGGTCCCTTTGAGGGCTTCGAGCTCGGTGGTCTTGGACTGGAGCTGGCGGCGGTACTCGCAGATCTCCTCCTGGGCCAAGCGGATGGCGTCTGTGTTCACCTTGGCAACCTCCGAGAGCTTGTCCAGCCTCACTGCAACGAGGGAAAGGAGAAGCTGCAGGGAGGGAGGGAGGCTGTGGGCTCCCCTTCTTGGGGAACCTCAAATCCAATACTGCGCATCCCCTGCATGCATCCCCTGCAGCGCTGGCCCCATCTCCCCGGCTGTGCTTGGCTTTACCAGCCCTCGCTCCGTCTGTGCTCGTGCTGTGCCGGGGAGGTGAAGGATGGGCTGGGCGGGTTTTTTCGCCATCCTGGCCTTTATCCAACGCAAACCCACACTGCAAACCTCCCTCTGCCCTCCTGCCGCAACCCCTGTGACCTCCAGAGCTGCCAGCACCCACCGCCCTGCTGTGCCCGCCTCTGGCCGGGCCCACCCTGCTGCGGCGAGGCAGGGGGGGTTGCCGCAGGGCCCCGGGGGGGACAGAGGGACAGACAGAGGGACAGACAGAGGGACGGACCCCACTGCTCCCAGCTCC